TGTCCTCGTTCGTCTTCATCTGCACGAGCATAGCCTCCTTCGCCATGTCTAAGATCTCTTCAAGAAACTTAACCTCCCCGTTGCGAGTGCTCATGCCTTGGACTCTTCCAAAGTTGATATGCTCGAGCTTGTCAGCGTAAGGCGCCCCCATGAGTTCGAGTATTTTGAAGAATTGCTGACAGTGCAGATCTTGCTGGTCCCCGACGATATACACCTGCAGACACATCGATCAGCTCAATAAAAGTTACCAGCGGACAACACACCATTTTGTCGAACTTGTATTGCTCAAATCGCTGCATGGCACCAGCGATATCACGCACCATGTAGATCGTCGTTCCGTCTGACACGCCAAGAATGAGGGTCTGTCTCGAAATCATGCATCAAGATATAACTCTCACCCGCCTTCTGAACGACGGGCTTGCTCATCTTCCACTTCGATAAGTCCACAGCATATGCAGGTTTCTCGTCCATCGGCGGTACCCCATCAGCATTATAATCGCGATCTCGTTTGCTTTCCCAGGCATACTTTTCCACCAGTAATCCGTTCTCCCTCAATCGGTCCATAGCGGCGTTGATACTCTTAGCAGTGACCAGGGATTCCCCAGCGTAGACGTCGAAAGTAATATTTAAGCGCTGGTAGACCTTCTTATAGGCCTCAATGGAGAGATCCCGGAATCGCTGCCATAGCGCGAGGGTCTCCTTGTCACCTATCCGCACGGTTTTATCACCTGTTTCGTAGCGCAGGGGTAGGGGGACGTACCATGCTCCATTCGACGAAATATATCCTTCGCCTCATCGTTGGTTGTTGACAGTCCCGCAGCCTCTTCTTCCTTGACGTCCTTGTTCACGGTGACGTATACATCGAATAGATGCATGATCGGGCTTTCGGCAAGCTTCTCCTCGGAACCATACTTGAAAAATCCGATGGCGAGCAGACCTGAGTTATGGTGTCAATTTCACGATGTAATATCGGGTGAGGTTTCTTACCAAACTGCTTCCCCCAATCGCCCAAGCTGGGTGGAGACGGAAATGACTTGGGAATCAGAGTGGAACGGTTGTACTCACTAGTTCATGCGGACTACATCCCAACCGTTGGCAGAGTACAGGTTGGAAAGAAAGGCGCCAATAATGGTGCTACGAAGGTGGCCTGAGAGAGCTATAATCAGACTCTGAAAAGGGTGGAGAACGGAGTCCAACTAACCAGCGTGGAAAGGCTTGGCGATGTTGGGACTAGAAAATTCAACCACTACCTTTCGACCTGCCCCAGAACTGTTGGTGCCATATCTGCCAAATCGATGGGTATTTGTTGATTTCGAGAGTGTGTAAATTTGGTCCAAGACGAGTCGATTCAACTTGCGGGTCTGGGAGTGGAAGTGGACAAAGACGCCGTCCACGGTGATTCGCTCGATGTATTCAGTAGGTACGAACTGCGTGATCGATTCAAAATGTGAGGACGAAGGGTTTGGTAGGAGACCGACCTGGGCTTCAATTTTCTTGAGTAGCTCTTGTGGTTTGGCGCTGAGGCGAAAACGAGGAACGGCAACGGTGAAATCGACGCCTTTCTTCCCCAGATCGACAGTATTGAAGGCCTCATTGATTGGTATGCCTAGGATTTCAGAGACGGATTGGGCTACAGAAGCGCGGAACGCGTCCAGGATACAAGCAGAAGGGTCGACGCCGTCGATGGCCATGGTCGCTCGAACGATGATCGATATGAGTCGTGACGTTGATACGATCAGACTCGACGCTCGATCACAATGCGGCCACAACGTTTTTACTTCCTACGAGGTTCGGATTATCGTAGACACACGTAGTCGGGTTTTACTGAGGAAGGACCGGTGAAATGCAACGGTAGAAATGCCTCCAATCCGATCATGGTGGGACAGTCCAGTCCTCACAATGGCAATATCTCCGTTTTCCCGATGTACGAATCGCGATTTCCTGTTCTCTTGCGGTATTCAAAGGAAGATGCTCTTTCAATGACACTCGCGAAGACTGGCCGCTGGCTTCTGTAGACTGTGGCTTGCTTGTAATTCTTTCATTGAGACCGCTTCTACTGTACTTCACAAACCCGTCAAGACCTTGAACAAAGAATGCAGAAACGTTTTCTCAATGGTGGTCTTTCAATCCACCGTTAGCTTTCAGTTCGGGGCAATACTTTGCTCAGTGTGATATGACCGTATCTCCGTTGAATCTGCCTGTCTCGGTGAACAATGACGCGTTGGCGTCAGCGAATTTGTAGGACAGGGTCGATCAATGGGTTTGTCTTTCAGCATATATAAAAGGACGCTGTGCCATGAGAAGCGGCTCGACGTGTTTTCCCCTTGGTTCTCCTACTTCTCGCCACCTGCCGTCGTATGTGTTACGCCACTCTTATGTCTGTGGCCACCGTCACTGAGCCTCTTTGGTTTTTAGTGCTTTATCTCGCCAACATGCCGCGCGCACCGGCTCCGCTTCAAGCCCACGCGACTTCGCCGGCACTCATGATCACTAAGCCATTCGCGCCGCGCGAGTCAACGGGGCTACCCACTATGCAAGTCATCAAAGAAACAATCGAATCTGGTAGATGGCGGGCAACGCCTGAGACCTTGCGACAAATGGACGAACTTCACATCAAGATGCGCAAATATGTCGAGACCTCTCACAGCCTGCGAGAGCAGATGCGTACGGATCCCCATGACCCATCTGTGGCCGACGAAAAACGCTTCTCTCGCGCTGTTTCTTGTCTGAACGATATCGACGAAAACGATGCAGTGCCAGAGAGGAGGATCACCGCGATGCAGATGAACGACTACGTTACGTTCTATCAGTACTGCTGGATTCGGTTCTATTTGAAGTTTCAGTTGCATCACGTCGACAACGAATGGCCGCGACCGGATGTCAAGTTGGACCTTTGGCAGATACCGTGGCCCATCATCAACGTTGACGAAGCCATTCGCGACGAATGGAAGTACTCGACGCTCGTCGTCGTGACCTCGCCAGGCGACATTACTTACGAGCGTGTCAAGGCGTTTCTGGACCACCCCCACCGTCCTCATGGCTTGCGCGGATTGTCCACAGCCGCCGCTGCGGAAGCTGAGCTCCCCAGGTTCACATACGAGACCATGACCGCATGCATTTTGCCGCTTCTTCCTGCCGACAACGTCCTTGCTACGAGGGTGATGAAGTGTTTTGAACGGGTGAAGGAGATCCTGCGGAGCTTGGCTCATAGCCGATGAGTTGCCTTGCTGTCGTTGTACGAGACGGAATTTTGGAAGTACCTGTTTCGATCTGTAGTTTCTCGATTAATATACTTGATTTTTCTCTAATCGTGACAACGTGACTAACCCGGACTTGTGAATGACAACATGAAGTCCAAGAATGTATTCATCTTGCGAAGCGTACCCCCATCGTCGAGGAATTTGCGACGTCTTGCATGCACGTAAACTTCCCAAGTCCAATGACAATGTTGAGAATGAAAGAAGAAAGCATCTACAGTATGTAGAATCAAATGGGATTTCAGCAGCAGAGTTGTTGAGCCTCGTGACGCATAGAGCCGCGAAACCGGCTTTTTTCGTTGAATTGGAAAGAGTAAGGAGCAGAGAGTGTAATGAACGCGAGGAAAGAAAAAAGAGGAACATTTGTTCAGGCGCGAAGATGATGAGGGAATTTGCAAAGGGTCGACATATGAACTGGGAGGGGACATAGGCTGCTTAAATATACGGAAGGCTTACAGGAACAGCAGCAGCACTAACATAAGAGAGCAATACAGAACGAGGGAAGCCAGTACGGCCGGGCACCAGACGCAGATTCAGAATAGGAAGCGAATACAAGAAGGGAGGAAGGTTGGGACATGGAATGCTTTGGGCGCTGGATGATGAGATAGAGTGCGTTGTGTGGGTATACGGATGGAATGAACGCTACAGAGGAAAACATGCGATAGGTAGAGTGTCAACTCGGAGAAGAGTTTGAGGGAAAGTAATGCTCTTGGGATGGGGAGAAGAGGACAATGTTGTGGACTAAGGGAAGGCTGGAGGTAGAAAAGTGAAATGAACAAATGTGTAGTGATATCTCGAAGCAAGGGGATGTAGCGACGAATGAGGGAGAAGGCGGAGGAGCGGCCGGGAGTAAAAGGAGCATAGACCCAGGTAGAGGAGCAACGAAAAACTTGAGAAGAAGGAAAAGGCGGGGGGGATGGAATACAACAGATAAAATATAATGGGTAAACGAGGGAATACTGCACATACATTTATCGGCATGCACCATCACGGACGACGAGGAGAGCCAGATCTGGAATCGATTAGGACAATAGTCCGAGGAAAGAAACGGCGATGCATGAAGACTGCAATAGTCCCAGAGGAGCTAACCCATCACAGTCAAACGCTGAAGCTAGAACATGCATTTGAGATCGAGAGAGACTCTGAGAGAACACTAGACGGAACACGGACATGTCGCAGTATGCCGAACAGGGTGGTTCTGGAGGACTGAAGTGTGGGATGCGATGAAACCCAAACAGACAGTGGACGATGGTGATAACAAGAGGGACAGACGACAGCGATATCATGTGTGGCAGGTGGTGTCGCGTGCGGAGTTGGAGTACGAATATTATCATTTGAATCAACACAACAGAAATGGCGAAGGACGAGATAGAAACTGGGAACAATGGGGCGGAAGTTCTGAACGGTACAGTGAAAACGACAAGAAAGATGATAGAAATATTGGTCGGATGGCAGCGAAGACGTCGGTAGCAGCAATGAATGCCAAAGAGAGCGAAAACAGATACGGATGCTGCATAATGATAGAAGTGAAAGATGCGCGTCACGATAAGCCAACAAAAAAGTTTGTTGAGGAGTCCAGAAATGCAGAAAGTGCAGGGAATGCCACTTGATCAGAGGAAAGGCAGGCACATCTAAGGGCAGCCCAAAGTATATTCCAGTTACTTGTGTTGAAAGCAAGACTTGGAACAAGAGAAACAGTAGAAAAAGAATTGACATACCCAAAAGCATGTAGACGAACGTTGTTGACCACCGCAGGGGTCGAACCTGCAATCTCCTGATTCAATGCAACATGTTCTTCATGATCGTAGTCAGACGCGATGCCATTTCGCCAGGCGGCCATATCACGAAAAGCGTAGGAGCCTGGAATGGACTGAACTGAAACGAACACAAGCAAAGCTCGACAGTAATGAGGAGATAGGTGAAAAGTGTCAAGAGTACATACATAAGTGGGTGAGAGCGACAATGACGTTGCGCGCCGGTGTCGCCACAAAGCAAGATTGATCGCGATCTGGCACAACGATGTCGATGAAATCTGCGGGACACTACCGACGCACGTTGTGGAGGGAGAACACCTATCTGAGACATGTGATGCTATCGAATCAAGAGAAGAGCATAAATACTATTTTTGGTAGAAATATCGAGGATTTATTGATCCACTTTTGCGATGACGTTACTGAATTTGGAAATATTGTGACAAACTTTAATGGAAAGTATTGACGTAAGCCAATTTCGGTCTCATGCGGGAATGTTTTTATGTGGGAGTAGGAGAGACTCGGTCGCGACCAGCTCTCAGTCTAGACCTTGCCCATCCCTCCCCCGCCAGAGAGAGAGCGAGTCTAAGTCAAAGGAAGCTAAAACCCCATCTCCCATCTCACCCTCAGCGTCTAACACGACCAGGAAGCGCGCAGGAGTGCCAGTGAGTGGGAACACGAGGAAGAGAGTGATGCGAAACTGATAGCGCCCAGCCCGCCCTAGTCCGCCCCAGCCTCTGCAACTGTTGTTGTACTCCCATGGATCAACCGAATCCGCGCCGGTCCTCCCGTACCACCAAAGGTCGGTATTATCACTTCCCAATCTGGCTTTTCTGCTGATCTGCTTCTCTTCGCCGACTCCACTCTCCTGCTCGCTTGCGCGCGTCGCCTATCATCTGCCCGTCTCCGCGAATCGATTCATCTCCTCGATATAACCGCCGTATCCACTCACGCTACACGGTGACTCTTGTCGTCCACTCGCCGTCCTGGTCTGGACCCTCGCACACGTGCTATTGCTGTAACCTTCGGTCTCGGCCCTCCATCCTTTCTTCCGTCCAATTCATCCAATGCGACTGTCATACCGTTGAATATACACCCACTTCATATTGTCGCCATCTTCTCCTTGCCGTTATCGCGCAACGGTTGCTTTCTTCATTCAATCACTCCCCGGCGCAATCCCTCGTCTTTCGCACATCACTTATACATTTCTATCTGCCCCAGGCAAGAAACCACCGCCACCACCGCCGCCACAGGGCCCTTCGCGCAACAGGCCCATCCTGCCAGCCGTAGGCCCTCCATCTAACGCGAACACATCTCCCTCTCTGGCTCCGTCGGGATCAGGTCCGTAGTATAACCACTTGCCTTTCAAGAGTGCTCATTTTCTTATCTTTTGTTTACTCACCTACGAACCCCGCTGATCGACATCAATGGCTCGTACTTCCTCTTTGACCGTCGCGCCTCACCTGTATACTTATGCGCCACCGTGATGCGTCGGGCTTTGCCGCGTTTTTCATTACCAATCGACTATATCTGATGCGACAACTCGACCCCAATGCTTCGTCAATTCGGCCGCGCTAATGCTGGATCCCGAACTGCCCCTCCATCCACCGCGGCCGTCTTGCCGCTTATCGTCCTTTGCCGCGGTCAACCGTGTGTTGCTCTAACCACCTTCGTGCTCTTCTTCCTCTTTGGAATATTTCTCTCTACTGTCGTCTTTCGTTGGCGTACTATCGCTACCGTGACCGCTTTCTTATGCTGCACAACTCGGGCGGACGTTCACCTCTGACTTTGTCGACGTTTGTTTGCCATCGTCTCCCCACTTGCCACTGCTTACATTCGCCATCCGTCCGGGGCCATGTTTGTCGACAGACGTAGCGCCGTCACCGACTAACCCGTCATTATACGCCCTCTGGCCCGGGCTTGCTCAGCAGCCTCCGCATTCGCAGGAGGGAAGTAATAGTGGGACGTCGACCGTGAGTGCCCGCTTCTACTTTTTTTTTTCCTCTGGGATCGCTCGACTTGGACATCAGTTGTTTTATCAGTCATCGAACTTTTTTTTGCCTCGTGGGTCACAAAGACGTGTGCTGATTCATCTTTCTCTCCTTTTGCAAATTGCGGTGCCGCTTTTGACCACCATCATCATCCATCATGACGCTGGCCCTCCGACCGGACAACGGACAACGGACTGTCTTTTTGGTTGCCAACTTTCCTTGACAAAACTACTACCGGCTTGACGCTTACCACTCTGATCCACGCGACATAATCCACTTCGCTTCTTTTTTACCCACACTTTTTCAATAATTCCGGCCATCGTGTACCACCACTTCCGCAATCACGACGTACCGTCGCATATCGACACTTTGACTGGCACACGTCACCACTACAATACGGCTTTGTTGCAGCAGTTCGTCTCACAACCTCAACAACAACAACAACAACATCCGTTTAACCCGTTCGACACGGGTAGCATCGGGAGCTCGAGTCCCGGACCATCACAGCGACGTCCTAATCTGCGGAACGCCAGCGAAAATAATAATACTTCGATGCCAAGCGCGATAGGGAGTAGTAGCGCTGAAGGAAGGGTGAAGGCTGAATGTGCGTGTTCCAGTCTTTTTGTTTCCCTTTTATTTTTCCAACGAGGCACATACATACTTACCGACGGCTCTTTCTCACAGCATCATCTTCATCCGTATACCCCATCCCATCTTCATCATCCTCTGGCCCGTCCGCTTACGCCGCAGCTGCCGGTAATAGTACATTTTCGAACGGCAGTGCGTCTCCTTCAGCTTATTCGCCCAATGCTTCCTTTACTGGACTTGGGGCGTACGGTGGTGGCGGCGGGGCGTATGATGGCCATGGTAGTAGTAGTGATGCGGCGTATGCGTCGTCCTATGGTGCCGGGTCCCACCCGCATTTTGATGGTGCTGGTCCGTCAACGTTGGGTGGCGGTACTACTGGAGGAAGTGGGAATGGAGGGGGGAATGGGGCCGATACTGCGGCGTCAGCGTCGGCGGATGATGGTATGCCTGCTACGTCGGATTTCGTGAAGAAGTTGTACAAGTGAGTTTTTTTTCGCTTTCTTTTTTTTGCATACAAATGTGTTGTTACCTTTTTTTTTCGTTTTTGCTGACTGTGCTTTTTTGGGTTAGGATGTTGGAGGATCAGTCGTTCCAGCATGTCGTTTCGTGGGGCCCGCATGGGGATTGTTTTGTTGTGAAGGTGCGTTGTTGTTTTACCCGTCGTCACTCAAACTCACGCTGATACTCTGTTTTCTTATTTCACACGCAGGACATGAACGAATTCACAAAGTCGATCCTCCCGCGCATGTTCAAACACTCGAACTTCGCGAGTTTTGTGCGGCAGTTGAATAAATATGATTTCCACAAGGTTAAGAATACGGACGAAGGTGCGGGCGCGGGGTCTGGGTTTGGCGAGCATGTGAGTGTGTGTTGTTCTATTGTTCTATTCCTTTTTTGACCATTTTCTTGTCCCTGCTACGCCCCTTTCCCTTTTGCACTTTCCTCCAACAAACACATCACTCGATGCGTACGTCTTATACAAAAGTCCTGGACGTTTCGCCACCCAGACTTTCGCGCCGACCGGCGTGATGCACTAGAACACATCAAGCGCAAGGTGCCCGCCGCTGCGCGTAAAGCGGCTATGCAACGCGAAGCCCAGCAACGAGAGCGGGAGGCCCAGCAGCAGGGACAGAGCGGGCTTGGGGGAGGTGAGTGTTCGTTGTATGTTTTGTGAGGGAGGAGGGGTTTTGCCCTCCCATCATTGGCTTTCCCCCCTTTGTATTCTGCGTTTGTGTGTTTATTACCGCGTTTCGTGCTTATGTTTACAGCCCCTCCGCTCTCGCCCTCGTGCCTCGACGACATCCGTACTGACGCCAGTTCCTATCGCTTCTTTCTTTGCGTAGGTTCGTCATTTCTACCCAGTACGGGCGCGGGCGCGGGGTTCGGTGGGGCGTATGGTGGGTCCATGTAATTTACGTTCATATCGTTTTTTTCTCTGTTATGTTCAGAGATGCTTGATATTGACCGCTTACCGTCTTATTATAGCGTCACCGACGTTCCCCGGTGCGCAGACACCACCATACGTCCTCGAGAGTTTGCAGAGTCTCCAGAATCAGGTGCGTTTTTTTTTTACCTCGTATGCCATGATGCTTTCCGTTGTTTGGGTTGATAACGCTGTCTGTTTCTGACGCCAACTTCTCTTGTAAGGTCGCCCGTATGGAGCGTGAGAAGGAAGATATGCAGCTAAGGATGCGGAATTTAGAAAGGAATTATCAGGTGTGTATATCGGACTGTGCCTCTGATGTTTCCAACCATCACGCATGCTTTTTTCCAATGCTTATTGTTTTTTAGGATGTCCTCGTCGAGCTCGTCGGCTTCCAACGCGGAATGGCGCAGCAAGACGGACTTATGCAGAATCTCTTGCAATATTTCCTCCGCGACAGTGGCGGGAATGGGACGGGTGCTGTCCAGGGTGAGTAGCGCTTGCCTGCTTCCCGCTTTTCATCTCGTTTGTCCTCGTTGTCATCGTGTTCGTCGCACTTGCCGCCATCATTTGCTACAAGCCAGCGCGCGTGTGTCGCTGCGAAAAATAATTTTGTAATCATGATCTTGTTCTTTTATTTTTTCTCTTTTTATTGTTTTGTTGTCGTCCGTGTCTGCTGTTTCAAGTGAAGTAGTGTACAAACAAATAGTCGAAAATATGTCGTCTGTCGGGCAAAGCAGTTGTGTCGGTGTTATCTGCAACAACGTAGGAGAAGGATGTGTTGGCTTTGTTGCGATACGCTGACCTGGCGGACTTTGTGATATTGTGTATATTGTACTGGTAGTCTGGAGATGTGCCATGTATTCCCTCATGGATGCCTCTCGTGAGCACTTGCTTATTCTGCCGCTGTATGATGGTGACGACGTGGCTTTCTACCATTAGTTTTTGACATGGACAAAGGATAACTTTATTCATATTTTCTGTGATACTGTACATTACACACGACATTGTGCGACTTACGCGATGACCATTCTACCTCGTATGTATCCCCATCCCCATCCGCAATCCGCAGCTTCTCATGCTTT